CTGCAGTTTTTGTCGGGCACAGTTGCGGAAACACCTTCGAAAGGGATGTTGTTAACCCCGGGAGCGGAGAGCTTGTGTTGTTCAGGAACAACCGCATATGGGACTCGGAAAGCAAGCCCTTCGATGCAGGCCTGCGTTGTACTAGGCGGAGGCCGTGCATAGTGGAAGACCCAAATGTGTCCAGCGCAGTTCCTCTGCCCAGTCGGGCTTTTCATTTGGTGTGGCGGAGAGCGCAAGAGGTTTCCGGGCACTGGTCTAAGAGGGACAGGAAAAGGAATGTTCGTGTTCCAGGGCAGCTGGCAGTCGTGATGCCATATGTGATGTTTGTGCGGGACTCGCATTGCGCGGACGCGCATCGATGAACGAAATTGTCAGTCCGGTGCACCCGGGAACTGTTGGTCAACAGGATGTGCCGGGTTCACCCAACACCGCTGCCGGTAATGTAAAGTAATGTAGTTTAAGGCTACTAATAAACGACGCTGCGATACATTTACACTGAAGCGATCTAGAGCAATGAACTAAGCTCCTTCCCATTTTCCACACGTGGATGTCCACACTATGCAGCTTCAAAGTGTTGGTGCGCACCAGTACAATATCAGCCTGGATCTAGTAGAAACTAACAGTTATCCGTCCTATACTATATTTTACATTAAAAATGGCTCATCAAGCTAGACCAGCGGTAGGTTTGATACGATCAGAAAAGTGTGCTGCGCGCGCGCCAAAAAATCTAAAACAAATTTCGAACCACTAAATCTACCGGGCCATTCTAAAAAATCATTTCAGATATTGAAAATCTGACCTCGTAGTGCACGTCCTAATTTCGCCAGCTTCCCATTACTTTGTGCATCAATCCATTCTTTCATATTCGAATATTTTCGATGAATGCATACTAACTCTGCAGTGCAGTTTGCAACTCCACCGAAGCTGTTTAAGGCACGAACTATATCGGCTTGCGTGGTTACGTCTTGTCGCGTTGCATTACAGAACCTGTTTATGTGCATCATTGATAATGCAAAGTGTGCATCCACAAGGCTTTTCCCTCTTTGTGTCTCGGAATGCACAAAACCACTCATAACTATGCCATGTTTTCTCGAGATAAAAGGACCCATCACAGGTACTAAGTCGTTCTGATAACACCTAGCATTGTCCGATAGGAGCGTGATGGACTTGATCGTGGGAATTTCAATGACTAATCGGGATAGAATGGCGTCCAATAGACTGCATATTGCCACTCTGTCTTGCTTCATGTCGTTACTGATGACGTGATCTAGAAACATAGTATGTACTTCGTATGAGTCTGTAGATGCTTGCTGCTCGACCGAGTCAGAGTAAAATATAACTGCCCCGTGCCAAGATATGTCCTTTTTTCCAAAGAATTCCGTCGTCTTCTCCCTGTAACGTATAGGTTCGAACTTCATTTTGTAATCGACGAGTATTACAGCTTTGCACTTCGACCGGTCCCGAGAAAGACCCTCAAAAAGTTCAGCGATTCGCTGTTCCTGGTTTTTGCATCTCTGCTGGTGATCTAAGTACAGCATCACTTTGGTCTTTACCTCGTCGAGGGCCTTTATTATGTCCGCTTTCGGCGCATGCAGTGCCTGCTTGACATTCGAGATCACCTGAAAAGGAGCCATGCAGGCTGCAAATTCACTCTGTCGCGAGCTCTCAAGAGGTCCAATTAAATCTCTGTTATTCTCCTGCGGCTCTAGAGCAAAAGAGCTGTCATGAAACGGATCAGAGTCTAAGTCAATGTGGTTTAGGTACGTGAATTTCAGGAATTCTTCGATGGCATCTGCTTGAGCTTTGAGCTTTTCCCTCTCTGCTTCACTCCCTTCAGCACAGATTCTCTCTCGGAGTGTGCGAAGGCTGTCGTAAACGAGTGCGCCGAGGACGTGGTCTACAGCAGATTTTCTCTTCTGCTGCGTGCGAGTCAAACTGTCAGACATTTGCAAAAAAACGGAACGACTCAATGGCCTTTCTCCAGTATTATTCTGTCTGGTATCATAAAACCAGGAAGTGTAGTCAGCATAGATCCTTTCGTTCGTTTTGCGCCTCATTACAGCCGGAAACTCCACCCATTCGTTGTCCAACCTCAACCGTTTCGTACCCCACGAAAGCAACTGCACGTTTTCTGGACGAAACAGAAACCTCAAAGCCTGACTTATAACGTCCCCGTGGCGTTTCGCTTTGGTATGAACGACCACGGGTAGTGCTCCAGCACACAGTAAATGATCCCAATCTTTCCTGGCTCTCTGAAATAATCTTGCCACTGCGCCACTTCTGGCTTTCTTTTTTGCGGTTTGGTCGAGGTTTTCTAAATGGGCAGTGGTTCGTTTCCTATTTACGGCGTCAGAAGCTCCTTTGCCCACACGATTTTCAAGTTACTCTTTTTGACTGCCTTGTGTGTTCGAGGTTGTGAAGGCTTCAAAGCATTCGGTGCAATAAAGAGGGTCGTCGGCATCTTCAACGCTCAGTTTGAGTACTTTTTGGCAGCACAAGCTATGGACGCAGGCATTACAATGAGAACAATTATGACCTGTAGCAGTCCCTCTCTCGCCTTCTCCGTCCAATACACAGCCCTGCACACGACACCTAAATAGATTATCAATACCAACAGGACACGTGAAGAGCGTACCCATAGGTAAAGTGTCAAGTGCAACATCACGCATGGCTGCGGGTTGTCTTTGCTTTAGGGCGGGCGTCAACACACTTTGGTGGTACGTCTCCTTCTCATTAACATGTGTAACATCGTAGCTAGGTTTCATCACTGCGTCAAGGACGCCTGGCGGCTGAACATAATCACTTTGGTTCTTCCCAGAAAAGCCATTTCCCTCAAATTCAGGCTTTTCTAGTTCAATTTTTACAGCGTGGGGCTCTTCTGGATCCGACACGCGAGATTCCTTCGTTCTTGTTTTAGAATCATCAGCTTGTAGAACGTGATGGAATTCCGCCCCGCTCACAGAAGAACACAAAACTGCCTGAAGCGCCTTTTTCTCAATAGAGCCATTATTAGCAGCTTTGATCCCATCAAAAATGGCGCCCTGAAGTTTAGAGTTTTGCAAATTTTCCTCCATAAAAGGCCGGAAAAGGTTCTCAGAGTCACTCGGAAGAAAGGCTCGTGAAAGAGCCGCCAAACATTTACCCATCACAACGTGGAGTTTGCTTCTTTCTTGAAGTGTGATGTCTGTAAGCATTGACGTCAACGTGCGACTTGCAGGTAACAAAAATTTGGTCTCACGGCGATTTATTGCCAGAGTAGTAAGAATAGATGCGACTATTCTAACGTCCAACTTAAAAATATTTTCTGGAGCTTGGCAAAATGAAGCTTGTGCTTGTTGTCGAATTTCGGTTCGTGCGGCGGCAGAGGCACGACGTTGACTTTGAATTTGCTGCTTCGGCGGCCTGCCGCGACCTCTTAGAGGTCCTTGGCAGGTACAGGAAGGACAGCGGGGGCAATTCTCGCATAGTTGGCATGCCCGCTGGCGATGGCCACAAGTGCCCATTACCATCAAAGAAATCTGGACAGCAATGTTCAATGTCAGGGAGGTCTGTCGGTGTGTGCTGGCAGTGAGGAGCGGGAGGCACGAGACCGTGACAAGGACGTAGGGGGTGCAGGTGTCAAGGTTCGAAGAATTGTAGCAGCTGAGGTTTAATGTCAGGGAGGTCTGTCGGTGTGGGCTGGCAGTGAGGAGCGGGAGGCACGAGACCGTGAACAGAACGTAGGGGGTGCAGGTGTCAGGGAGGACTTGCAGTGAGGAGCGGGAGGAACGAGACCGTGAACAGGACGTAGGGGGTGCAGGTGTCAGGGTTTGAAGAATTTTGGCAGCTGAGGTTCAATATCAGGGAGGTCTGTCGGTGTGGGCTGGCAGTGAGAAGCGGGAGGCACGAGACCGTGAACAGGACGTAGGGGGTGCAGGTGTCAGGGTTTGAAGAATTTTGGCAGCTGAGGTTCAATATCAGGGAGGTCTGTCGGTGTGGGCTGGCAGTGAGGAGCGCGAGGAACGAGACCGTGAACAGGACGTAGGGGCTACAGGCGTCAAGGTTTGAAGAATTGTGGCAGCTGAGGTTGGCTTGGCAAGTCGGGGGCGGGGATGGGGGAGATGAAATCGCCATGTTTCAATTGCCCACTTTCATGAACCAGAACTGCCTCTGAAAAGACAGAATGGTTCAGTGAAACATCTCTTGCTTGGCAAAATGTCGCGAGAACTAAATTTTGATTATATTTTTCGAGTCCATTTTGGCTGAGATTTGGTTGTTACACCCCCTACAAGGAGGTTAACCAAGCGCCAGAGGGTCACCTTTCCAACCTTCAATCTCTAAAAAACTCGGCCCGTCCATTGGTGGAATCTCAAAGGAGCTTCTACCGTTGACAGATTCAACGAGCACCGAACCCGCAATTTTTTTGGATCCAGAGATGTCTCCTGAGATGTGCCCCTTTTTAAAAAAATTACGTGTTAAATAATAATAACGCGATAATAATGAAAATTATAAATCATGAAGTGACAACAATGGCCTTTGCCCCGGCGCATGATTGACTGGTGCCGGGACCGGCCCGGCCGGTCCGGCCCAGGTTGCTATCATTGGTCCTGATGTGGTCCTGAACACACCACAATGACCCAAATGGACAGCAACGGGCTCAAAGCCAAACTCAACGCTTTTATTAGGCCTTTTCGCAGTCTTTCACGCACCACAATGGATTTCACCCTTGATTATTTTGTTTTCACCCAGTATCCCAGAGATGGTTCGGCTTTCGCGTTGCAAGGGGGATTTTTCAGAGGTGACCAGCCGTTCTCGAGATGACCGCCGTATCTCGCATTCATCGGCTATGTCGGTCGTTGACCTACTGTATCTTGAAATTCGCGAACATATCCATCCAAACATGCCCGTCCATGTGTCTTCAAGCAGGCCCTCACCCGGAAAACGACCGAGTCGTTCGGCAATTGTTCCTTGTCTGCGCAAACCCTCTGCATTTGCGTTAGAGACCTAATGCATACAATCAGTTTACGACTCCTCCATCTAACGTTGCTGGATACTTTACATAAGTACGTTTTTCGACAATCACAAAAGGGCATGAACTTCGACTCCCTATCAAAAAACTATGCTAGCACACGCTTTCAAGTGCATAGTTACGCATCGACGGCCGCTGACTGCTGCATTCTGGAAAACTGCGCAATTGCCCAGGGCGTTGTCAGAGTGAGCGATGAACCTTAGGTCTCTCTGATACGCTGCCCTTACCGCGTGGTCATCTGCAGAAGGCTCGATACTGCAGAAATCATAGTCAGCAGCGTCATCGCTGTCGTACTTTTGTCTGCCAGTCGCGACTGTAGCCCAAGCATTATCGAGCTTTCCACACAAGGGTTAACTAGTGTGAACATTGTACTGTAGTGCTCCGAGCAAGACCTGTTTTTCTATATACGCCAAACCATCCGCTTTCGCAAAATGATGAGTTCCAAAACTGAAACCCGTGTAGATGACCACCTTCGATTCCAGGAATGTATCTATTCAAACTATCTAGTCATCCTTCTTGGACACCTGCGATTCTGCCTCGTACTCGGGCGTAACATTGAGCGCGTCGAGTCTCTCCAGCAGTGTCGGATGAGAGTAGTTCCAGGTGGAGTAGAACGGGTCCGGGGACATGTTACTAAGATTTGCGATGGACATACCCACGAGAGCTTTTCCCAGATCCTCGGCCATGCCCTGTTCTTTTGCAAACGCATCGGCCTGATACTCAAAGTGGCGACTGAGCATGTTCGCCAACGGCGACATGAGTTCGCCCAGCGGCGCCATGAGCTCATTTAGCAGCAGCAAACCGATGACATGTGGCATGCCCTCGTGATAGCCAAAACTGCGATACAGGTCCTCATTCCCCGTAGTCAAGCCGTACAACAGACTGGTGATGAAGACTTGGACGAGCGCAATAAGGACGCCGAGGACGGTATGGCGATAAGCGACATGGCCAATCTCATGGCACAGGACGCTGACGACCTGGTCATCGTTCCCTTTGCACTGGTCTATGAGGCTATCATAAATACAAATGTTCTTCTTGAACAAGCCAAAAACATAAGCGTTGGAATGGGAGCTGCGGCGGCTGCCGTCAATGACGTACATTTTGTTGAGCGGAAAGGCGAGGCGGTTGGCCATGGCGACGAGCTTGTTCTTGAGCTGCCCCTCGGGGAGCGGGTTGAAGGTGTTAAACATTGGGGCGATGACGGAGGGGTAGATGAGCATGATGAGGACGAGGAAGGTAGACATGAGCAGCCACAAGCCGAAGGCGATAGTGATGGGGTTGTACGTGGAGAAGTAGCGCAGGACGTAGAACAGGGCCGACAGCATAGGCAAGCCGAGCAAGAGCGACAAGAAGACCTGCTTGAGCTGGTCGAGAACAAAAGTGCGGGCGGTGGTGCGGTTGAAGCCGAAGCGGGCCTCCAACACGAAGGTGCTGTACAGGGACGCGGGCAGGTCGACGGCCATGCCCAGGGCGCCGAAGAGCAGGGCGAAGACGAGGGTCTGGCGGAGCTCGGAGGCGGGGGCGAGGGTGGCGGAGAAGTACCAGAGGCGTGGGGCGAGAAAGTTGAGCAGGAACAAGGTCTCTATGGATGCCTCGAGGACGGCCATGAAGATTTGGAACGAGGACTTGGCGCGGCAGTAGCGCTGGGCTTGCTCGAACTTGGCCGGCGGGATGATGGCCGCGAGGCGGCGGGACGGGACGACGTGCGGGGCATAGCGCTTGTGCTGACGGCGCGTGACGTAGAGATCGAAGAAGGTGGCCGCGAGCTTGCCGGCCAGGGCGACGTAGAGGTAGGGGAACATGGTGAGGACGGGGGAGGGCAAGGCGGGGCCGAGGAAAGCGGGAGGGATGTTTACGCGGGTGCATTTCTCCACGGGTGCATTGTCACATACCGTCCGTTCAAATGGTGTAAGCATATGGTGTAAGTAGGATCAATGGGTTGGGCAGGGATGGACGATCTGGGCTGGAGGTGGAGGCGGCAAGGTGCGCTGGAAGGCGAAAGGCAAAAGCTAGGTAGGTTGGAAGCTAGGTAGGTCGAAGCTAGGTAGGTCGAAGCTAGGAAGCGCACGAGGTGCGACGACGACGTTTACAAGACGCGAGCGTGGGGCGGCGGGCATGGCAAGCGGGGATGGTCGGCAAGAAAAAGGCAGGCGGCAGTGCGGCAGACGGGGGCGTGCCTAGCTCTGCGGGGCGGGGGCGTCTGCGGGGGCGGCGTCTGCGGGGGCGGCTTGTGCGGGGGCGGCGGCATCGGTTGGCGGGCCCAGGTTGAGCTGCGGCGGGGCCGGGGTGGGCTGCTCGTCCGGGTCGTAGTTGGGGTCGTTCTTGTCCAGGTAGGCCACGCCCTCCTGGTCCATGGCGGCGCCCCACACGCCCTTTCCGCCGGCGCCGCCCTTCTTGGGCAGGCCGCGCGTGCCGGAGGCGGAGTGGCGGTCGTACGCGCGGCCGCGCGCGGAGGCCGTAGGCGAGCGGGCGGGGGAGCGCATGGCGGGGGGTGGGGACGAGCGATTGCGTATGATGGATGAAAAATGAACTTCACAAACCATT